CTCTGAGGCAAAATTAAATAGAAGTCAGATCTTTGGAGGAGCAGGAGCGAGACAGGCCCACAGTCAGCCTTGCTTGCGTAATCTTTAATCATTTAAAATCCTTCCTTCTCAGACTTTCTCAAGGGCAAGAAAACCCAACACGTTAAGTCTGCTTTCACGGCAGTTTTTTTCCTACCTTTCTCAAATTTGGGCTTAAAATGGAGATGATTCAAGTGACCAGAGGTGGGCCTGACACTTGAGAGAGCAGGCTGGCAAGGGGTCTAAGATGGGGGAATGGGGTTGTCCTCGGCATTTGAGGCGTGAGGATAGTTTACTAGGACGGAGCGGTTATCAGGAGGAAGGGTTGGTGGTTCTGGGAGTGAAGGTGCTGACTGCTTCGCTGATAATTGCCTACATCCACTTCACAAGTGAAACCAATGCGTGAAACCTTGGTGTCTTTTTTTTTTTCATTCCCCACAGAGGTTTAGTGGTCTTCAAAGGAAGTGATGCTTCTGTAGTTCGGGCATTGGGTTGGAGCTGCAGGGGATTCACTACCCACCTCTAACACAGGTTGCTTGGGTAAACCAGCCTGGTCTCGGATTGCTGCTGTAAAATGGGGGTAATGCTAACCCTTGGTCTTGTTGCAGCCCCCAGGTCCCTCTCTGTAGGCAGTCAGAGAAATGCCCTCTTAATGGGGTTAGAAAAGATGGACTTGATTCCCTGCATCCATTTCCAATGGCTCGTTTCCCCATCCATTGTCCTATCTGCTTAGATCACGTGCTCTGTTGGGCCAGGGACGCTCTCTCGTTGTCTTCGTGTATTCAGGCACACCCCATAAGTGAGTCTCCCATCTTGTTTGGGTCCTGTAGGTGCTAAACACCAATAAATCATGATGGAGATTATGTGGATTACCCACAAAGTCCCTCTATTTGGAAGACTTGTATTCATGCACACGTTGGCTGAGATCACGGAGCCATGGCACTTTTTCGCATGCAGTTTGTGCCCCGAACTTTGAGGGCCCAGGATTGTTGTAGCTTGAGAGGCACTAGAAAGTGGTCTTGAAGCTGTGTGGGCAACTAGCAAGTACCAGAAGGGGAAAGCAGGTCGGGGCGAGATGCGGTGTCATAGCTGTGTAGGGCCTGCATGCTGGAAGAGGGGAAGTTCTCAAGTTGGCCTTGAGTAGCATTAGGTCCAGGCCTGGGTCTGCAATTGCAGAGTCCAACTGTTGATATGATAAAGCCACGTGGAGGAAGCTCATTCCCACCTGCCAGCACGATTCCTGCAATTTTCTACTCACCTTGAATGGTTAATCCACTTTCTACAGCCAACCCTATATCTTGACCCTTGTTCTTATTGCAGCTGCCCGGTCCCTGCCTATAGGCAGTCAGAGGAATGCCCTCTTAATTGGGGTTGGGAATGTCTTATGACCAATTAGAAAAGATGGACTTTATTCCTAGAGTAATTTTTTTGCCATTTCTTAGTTGGTTTGATAAAAGATATCATCTCTGAACCCTAGAGTTTTTTGCATTTCTTTGGGACTTTATTCCCTGCATACATTTCCAGTGCCCCGTTTCAAATCCAGTGCTGTCCCTTCAGACAAGCAGGAGAAGGGGCTTTTCCAGAGACTATTTGGTGTCTCGCTTGGTGTTTCCTGGGAGGGGCACCCAGGAATGAAGCAGGGAGAGCAGAGCTCCGTTGCAATCCTTCTTCCCTTCTGGCAAGGGGTTAGTGTCAGGGATGGGACCTTACTGATTCCTGCAGGACCCATTGGTACTCACCCTTGTCCCTCCTTGTCTCCTCTCTCCAGGCTGGAACGAACTGCTCATCGCCTCCTTCTCCCACCGTTCGATAGCTGTGAAAGACGGGATCCTCCTAGCTACCGGCCTCCACGTCCATCGGAACAGCGCGCACAGCGCAGGGGTCGGTGCCATCTTTGACAGGTGGGTCCAAGGCCTGGTGTGATGAAGATTGGGTGGGGTTGGGGATGGCTGCCCATCTTCACTCCATCTAGCCGTGCTCCTGTTGTATTTTTGTGATCCCTGAGTGACCGCTAGATGGTTTCTCCAGACCGTAAGGCTCCTTGAAGTCTAGATTGAGCATCTCCTGGTAGGAGAGACCCAAGACTGGAGTAGCAGTGGGGGGTCTACATCTAAAGTGCTGGGTTGGGGGGGACTCGGCTAAAGGGGATGGAGCTGCAGGCCAGGACTGAGATGCAATAGCCACACTGTGAGTATGGGAACAAGCATCGCTCTGGGCAGTAACATCAGTGCTTTTCTTCTCAGTGCACAGGCACGATCAATTCAGGATAGCTTTGGAAGTGAAAATCAGTGCATCTTTCCAGGGGTCCAGGAGGGTATAATGTCATGAAGAAACCATTCACGTATTTTTCTTATTTAACTGAACCAAAATACTATTATTTTCATAATATAAAAGCACCAAAAATTTCCAGCCAGCTCCACGTTCCTGTCCTCCTTTTTTTTAATGTTGTCCCCCCGGAAAAGTTGTTCCAAAATGAGATTCCCATGCCGCTTCACTCATTCATTGAACGCTTCACTCATTCTGAGGGCCTCATTTACATGGATAATTATTGGAGATAGTTGTGTCGAAAATAAGAGGCTACTATGTTTGCCTCATTGAGTTTGCGAGAGAATCACCCCTGCAACCCGGGTGACATTATTCTTTTCCAGTGAGGTCACAAGCATTGGGACTGTGTCCACCCTGAAAGATTTAATAGAAAAAGTTGGGCAGCAAGTGAAAAACATTTAAACACAAACACCTGCAGTAAGAGCAAAGGGAACAATAAAAATTACTGGCAGAGGAAATTGCTTTTGGATACCTGGCTTTTTATTTTTAGGCCTTCTCCAATGTCACATTCTCCGACAGATCTCTCCGAAACCAGTCTTTATGGCCCCCACTGCATCTCATAGGAATTGTAGAAGCTCCTAATTGTGTAATAATAGCGTGGGGGGAGGACTAAATTCATTTATCACACGGTGAAAATTGACTTCAGCAGAGGTAACACGAGTTTACATTAGCAGAGGGTCTGGCATGTGAACTGCGGGTCTCTTCTTCCTGCCCCTTGGGGCAGGGGGCTGGACTCGATGATCTTCCGAGATCCCTTCCAGCCCGAATGTCTATGAAATGCAGATGCATTGTGTGCCCGTGTCCTTTGCAGAGTACTGACAGAACTCGTGTCAAAAATGCGGGACATGCAGATGGACAAGACAGAGCTGGGCTGCCTGCGGGCCATCGTTCTCTTCAACCCAGGTATGTTCACCCCATCCCTCATTCGTGCTCCAGGACCCTCTTGGCTTGGTGCTGTTAGCTTGGCTCTTTCTTTTATTGGCCATACGATCCAAGTGCAAATAACTCGAGGCACCAAGCACAGCGAGAACAGGGTGAGAGAGGAGAATGAGAAGCAAAGTGGAGCTCTGAGGATGGGGGATGCCTGTTGACCTGATCCATGCTTTCTGGGCAGTCGCCATCGCATCCGGGGCTGATGGAGGAAGGGAACTAGCCATAACTGCACACTAGTTCTTCAGGTGCTAAAACAAATGTTGTATTTCCCTTTCAAACTAAGGGGCATAGAGAGGAGCAGGCCAGATACAGATGAAATAGCCTTGCAGGAATTCTGCCTAGCTTAAACAAATCCTCTTGGTGTAAAAATGGGTGGATACTGCTTCAACTGGAGGTTACTTCCACCATATTCAGATACAGAGTTTTTTTCCACTTGCATCTGATGGACTGGATTCTCGGCTGATGCTTAATGGGCAGATCTGCATCAACCTCCTTTGACTCTCCCACCCTCACAGGCCAACTTGCTGACGAGCGAGTCATTTAAGGGAAAGCAACACAGTTTTTAGAAGTCAAAAATGTTCTGTTATCTCCGCATGGAGTCAAAGGCGGCTGAAATCTGTAGCTGGCCTCCATAAAAGGGATTTTTAAGATGAGGAACCAAGTGAGGAAATTTAGTATCAGCCTCAGCTGTGAACTCTTCCACAACAGCTGGATAAGGGTATAGGTTACTATCTTGCACTAGCTGTAACTTCCAGGATTCAGCGCTGAGCGCCTTATGAACTCCAAAATGCCTTGAGTTGGGTTACAAGAGGCAGAGACTTTTTTTTTGGTTGGATTATTACCCCAGGTTAGACTTGAAAGAGTCTGTCTCGGTGACCTCGAAATATCTGGAAGGCAGTCTAAAATGTCTTAGCCCAGTGGTTTTCATCTCTTTTTCATTTGCAGTTCAAATGGCGGTGTGGAACTCTTTAAGTTGAAACTTTATTTTCATAGTCATTTTTCACACACCCCTTTAGACATGGTCTGTGGGCCCCCAAGGGTCCATGGACCGCAGGTTGCAAGCCATGGCTTTAGCCCAGTGATCAGGGACAGTAGAGGACATGAGTCCCACCTCCATTCCCCGTGAACCATCACTGTCATAGTGAGTGGTGGGATTTCCAAGTGTAACCAGCCCTCTACTAGCTTGCTTTTTCCAACACAGCCGACAGCTTGCATTTTGGTTTTGTCTTTTTTTTTTTTTTTTGTCATTAATCTTCAGCAACTCATTATCCATAGTTTGAACCTGACCATGTATGGTGAAAGAGAAAAAGTTTGGCTAGGTTCCCATCGCACATTTTCTCTGGGATGTCAGGCCCCTGGCCGTCCTTTTGTCCTACTGAAAACAGACAAGATGCTCCCCCTACTTTGACATGGTCAGGAGACCTAGGGGTGGTGGTGTGGGCTGGGGAAGGAGAACAGCATGGGAATGCTAAACCCTTACCCGGTCATCCAGAGATCTGCCAAAACACAGACTTTTCTCTTAGCTGTGCCACAGGGGCTCCTGTGGATGAAAACCACAAACCAGTGGCTTCAGTAGAGCTTGAAAGCCTTTGGTAAGACTTCCTAAGTGACCCACACATAGTCAATTTGGGATGCTAAGAGTGGGGAATGATAGGATTTCAGTCAAGCAAACTGAACCCGTCGCTGCTACCAACAGCCATCTTCAGGGCATTCAGGTACTCGAGCTCTCCCAGAACTCATTACCAGGGAACCTGGTTTTCTCACATTAAAAAAAAAAAAAAAAAATTCCCCAATTTTCAGATTAAAAAAAGGAACCCCAAATCCACATTTTTCCGTGATTAAAATGAAGTGCCGCTAATATTTAGATGTAGATGTAGTGGTGTTTCATTTTAATCATGGAAAAATGTGGATCGGGGGTGACTTTTTTTTAACTCTAAAAATTGGGGAGTTTTTAAAATTGGAGAAAATGCAGATCCCTGTTCGTTGCACTGAAGCTGAAAGTACCTGGGAGTCCGGCTCTTGGGAAGGACTGAATAGTTTGGTTAAACGCTGAAGGGGGCAGACCCAAATCTGAAATTATTCGGGGTGAGAGGACGGATCAGATTAAGAAATCTTTTAAGTGCAACTGTGCAACGGGGGACATCTAGGCTTTAAGCCTTCTCAAAATATGGGCAACACGGAGGAGCAGCAGGTAAGAGGGGACTCTTCCTCATGGTGTGAAATCAGTTCAGTGATCTCCGTCTTGTGCCCAGATCCTCCTTGCAAGGATACTGGTACCGCTACAACCAGTGCCATTTTTCCTTTTATGAAGCAGCCTGTAACAGGTGAAGGATTAACGTGGTCCCAATTCCTTGACTGTCTTTAAACTTCAGGGCTGAGTCTTGTGGCTCAGGGGATTGAGGACTGGGCTGGAGAACGCATCCCTTGTTGATGGCCAGGTGATACCCAGAGCAGCTCTGGAGGGGCTGGCGCTTATTGCTGCTTGGGGGTGAGGAGGGGAAGGGTTCTCTGTGCAATGTATTTTGAAGGGGGTGGGGGACAAGCCAGGGTTTAGCTTGCAATGGGCCAAAAATACCAGTTGGCTCCTTAGCAGACGTCTGAGCAGGGAGGCCAGGGACGTAATCAGCAGAGACCAAACTCCTGACCCTCGAGCACGGTGGGGTTGATACCAGTGCTGCCCATCTCCCCTGGAAATGATGCTGGCACTAACTCCAGAGCTGCCAGGGGAGCCGCCTTCCTCGCTTTTACTGGCGTGCACACTCTCCCTCTCTCTCTTTTTTTTCTTTTAAAGAGGATTATCTGCCGTACGGTAGAAACAATAGCTGGCCTTGTAGCTTCTCCACCCCCACCTGCTCACAGGGTGGAAGCAGGCCTAATCAGCTATTGAAATCAATTGGTTGCTGTTTCCTTCCCTTCCCTGGTTCCCCTGTGGTTTGCTAGGACCTAGGAAGGGTGGGCTTTCCAAGGTGAGGTAGAGTCTCAGCCTTGAAGAGTAATGCTCATTGCAAGAAGGTGGAGTGCAAAGGTGTAAGTGAGACCTCAAGGCAGGCACAACACCACCAATGCAACTTCCTACCTCCCCCGTGCCAGTCCCCAGCTCCACCTTCATGCCAGACTGCAGCCCTGACCTGGAGAGGACCTCGCTAAGGGTGCTGAGAGCACTTGGGTCTCCATTTCTATTCTCCTGCCTGCTGTAGCTGCTAATAGTCTGCCGTCTGGGCTTTGAACAGGAGCATACACCCTCCAAGTCAGCCTGGACTCATTTCAAAGAGGATACCCTACAGCCCTCCTTACTGAGAGCCCTGATATGCTGTTTGGTTATCCGAAAAACAAAGCCGGCATCCAAACTGAGACCCAGGGTCCTGAGCCATCCAGCCCTCTCTGCTAGGCATGTTGGGATAGACTGTGCTGCACCCTGTGCCTCAATAGATATTCCTGGGAGATGCTCGTGGCTTTTGCCTTCCTGAAAATGTCCAGGGCTTGCATTCATCTGGGCCTTTATCGTGTTTCAGATTCAAAAGGTCTCTCCAACCCCGCCGAGGTGGAGGCCTTGCGTGAGAAGGTATACGCGTCGCTAGAGGCATACTGCAAACACAAATACCCTGACCAGCCTGGAAGGTGAGTACTCGGACAGGGGTGGCAGCCCCAAAAAGGGCTGGTCTAGAGTTTTTTTTCTTCTTTGCTACAAGGAAGGCTGGTTTTCCAAATGCTGTCCTTCCCTCTGCCAAATAATACCAGTACTATTCATGCAGTACCTTTCTTCTGGGGATTGCAGGCCCTTTGCAAGCCTGAAAGCAGCTTTCTCACAGGTAATCATTGCTCATCCCCTTCCATCATAAACTGAATCACGGGGGCGCTACGTTTCTCCACGGGTTGCACCCAGAGTAGATCCTCTGGCTTTCTTCTGGTTCCCTGGTGCAGCAGGAGAAACGTACAGCAGCCGGACGAGCACACACAGGGGTATCGTTTCCCTTTTGGAAACCACCAAGAGCAAACCACAGAAAAACAAGACACACACGGAGTTAATTTTCAGTGGCAGATGAGCATCACTGCTGGGAAGTGAAAGCCTCAATTGAAGCTGCTCGCCCTCCCCACCTCCTCCCAATACAGCTGGGAATGGGAGGAGGAATTTGGAACGGCTTTCCTGCATTTCTCCAGATTTGAGTGGGTGCATTTTCCCAGTCGCTGCAGAGCTGGAAAAAGCTGGAAACGGCCTGCGAGTAGATGTCAGCGCAGGGATGTGTAGGTCAATCAACAAGGCAAACTGGCTGAGAAAAGGGGACTCGCAGGTCAGCTGGCTTTATTGGATGTTCAGAATCATGGATTCCTTTATGACAGTAATTTCTTTGAACAAGGATGGAGACAAGCTGGCCAAAGTCATTGCTTGGAAGTGATGAGTTGCTGGACTGGGGCAGGCTGGCTGAATAGTACATGATCTGACTTGTGTGGGGTGTAGGGTCAGGGCTTTGTGTGCCTTGCCAGTTTGGCAGGTAACTGGGGAAAGCGTTGGGGGAATACTCCTGCCAGTCACGAGGTTTGGAGGGTGTCGGGGCTCGGTGGGATGATGTTGGGGAAAACAATGGGGAAGGTTTTTTTGGAGCCCATCAAAAAACATGAACTTCCCTGAAGTGGTGGAGCCTGTCTTCAGTTCCAAACCCAATTCACATTCATCTGACGGGGCAAAAATAATGAAGTTTTCAAGCCACGCTGGGCCCAGTTTTATCTGGCCTTTTGCTGTTAGTGCTTTTCAAGAGAGCTCAATGCCTGCTTCAGCTCAGAATAGGTGGCCAGCCCTGCATCTCATGCAGTGGGAGCTGTGTTTGAAAACCTGGCCGTGAGCTTTCCTTGAAACCCCTCTGATGTGCACACTCCCGGCGTGAAAAGGGAGTGCAAAACATGCACCTGAATCTATCCTGCTTCTGCTGGTTTGCTAGTCGTTGGGTCACACCACCTGCCTGTGACAGCTTTGTGGCTACGAGGTGGGGCTCAGGCCTGGTGACCACCCGGCTTTTGCTCGCGACTTCTGGATTTGTTTGAACGTGAGCTGCAGGAACCGGGAATGCAGTCCTCCCCGCGGTGAAACCGAAACGTGTTCTCACAATGCTGTGCAAAGGGGCATGACTGTGTTTCACCTGCCACCCCTCCCAAATCTCGTGAAGACCCAGATGGCTTGATGATCCTAGACTACAACAAGACGTCACTGAAGTTCCCGGGACCCTGAGGACTGCATCAGTGATTGCAGTGAAACCAAAGTGGAAGGACATACTCGGTGCATCCTGTGATGGATGATGTGGTCTGCTGGGCAGGACTTGTGGATTCTGGTCCCAGCAATGCCACTGCCTCACCATCTTGAACAAATCAGCTCACCCCTTTGTGCCTCAGTTTCTCCTGCTGTGAATGGGTGGGACCATTAGACCCTCCTTTTCGAGAAGCTCTGACACCAATAAGCCTAAAACTTCCCACGCTAAAGATAATCCCAGGGGAGCTGCTGCACCCCTCCTGTGCCAGGCTCTGCAATGGAGAGGATGGAGCCAAACAGGGGACCAAAACAGATTAGAGGGTCAATACCTAAATGGAGGACCTGCAGTTACTCACTAAGTGAGGTTCAAAGTAACAAGGGCTATTCTTCTTCGTGCTTCGTGGCACAACGTGATCACCGTAACGCGCAGCCGAGTGCATCCTCAGCAGTTGTGCACCTTCCAGAGCATTTGCTAAAGACTAGATCTACCCCGGGGCATTTTAGATACCCTGAAGGCTTGATTTCAGACTCATTCAAAACATGGGCAATGGTGGAAATCCATGAGCAGCGACTCACAGGAACAGTGATTAAACACTCACCGGCCAAATAAGCCTCCTACACAGCAGCCAGGGTCAGGGAAACCTGCCAAAGTCAAACAAAACTGCATCCCAGCCGTATGCCCCCCCTCGGCCCCTTCCCCGGGTCCCTTGGCAGGGAGGGCCGGTTGCGTACGTGACACGAAGCAGCCACATGTAATCAGCCCCATTCTCACCCTTCCCAATCCCAGCTCCGGTGCATTGTGCTGCAGGCCGGTTATCTCACGGTTAAACCTATCTGCGAGCTGCAGCCATCATCTGGTTTGGTTTAAAGTGAAACTTCCTGAATGGGATGGCAGGGCTGATTTGTTTTTCCTGGCCCTCGTCCCGCTGTTCTCGCCAGCTCAGCAAAAATATATTTGTGCATATGTGTGTGTGTGTGTGTGCATATGATGGGAGTGCACAGGATCCTTCCCCCTTTGCCGGCCCAGATCCAGCCATTATGTTGCACAGCTTATTTTAAAGCCCTGATTGCAGAGTGACAATAAAAATAAATACCTATAGCCATTCTCAATTATTAAAGGGATGGGTTGTCCGTGTCCCCTTCCCCCCCAGCACTTATACAAAGACCAAAATTGAGCAAGGAGAAAAGCGAAGAGAGCTGATGGGACCACTTGAGGGGGAGAAGCAGGGTAGGAAAAGCTTCTCTGCCCTTTGCAGTTGCAAACTTATTTGGTCCAAATCCCCTTCCCTCTTGCCCTGGGTTGGGCCTTGCAGAAGAACTTCCTGACTTGTTCTTAAAAAAACTAGAGAGCCTCCAAACCTGAGCACGGCCTTTGTGGCTTGCCAGCTCTTCTTTAAAGGTTGTGAGTGCAACATGAAAAGTGTCTCGGCCAGGTTGACCGAAGAGAAAGAGCTCCTTTCAGCCAGTGTGTACAGATGGAGGCGGTCCCATCCCACCAGCCAAGCGGGGAGGGAGCCGTGCTTATCCAAGCCAGTGAGAGGAGGAGGAGGAGGAGGAGGGAGGTGTGTGTGCTGTATGTGCTAACCTCTGGTGGCATCTGTGCAGAGCTATGACATGCTGCCTATTTTGAGATGCTGAATTACTTCACTGAAGGCACTCGGCACCTAGTGAGTCTCATGAAATGCATTAAAAGTGGCTGATGGGATTTTTTTTGGCGAGGCAGGGGGTTACAATGCCGCTTTCCTAGTTCCAGTGTCCAACAGGAGCTGGTGTGAAATAGTGTTGATGCCCCAAACAAGAGAGCTTGCTTATGGTCTTTCTTCTCTCCTTTGCTACGGTGTGAAGGACCCAAACCTGCACCACTGGAAACCAAATGCCTAAGCAGGGGAGGAAGTTGCACAAACCTTTCACTGAAGTTAGCTAGTGATGTTCTCATTGATTGCATGTACTTGTAAAACTGGAGAGCAGAGAGCCAGATGGTACTTCTTCAATGGCTGGATGGGGAGGGTTTAACCATAGGGTTTGGAGTAGGCGCACGGGCATCAGTAGGGTTCGGGGTTGCTTGTCCCACCTCAAAGTCCTGTAGGCAAATTCCAGCTAAGTCTGTGGCGTCTAACCACGTTCTCCTCTCCTGTTTTTGTCCCACCCTGCAGGTTTGCAAAGCTCTTGCTCCGTCTCCCTGCCCTCCGATCCATCGGCCTGAAATGCCTGGAGCACCTGTTCTTCTTCAAGCTAATAGGAGATACACCCATCGACACCTTCTTGATGGAAATGCTGGAAGCGCCCCACCAAATGACTTAAGATAACCTCTTCTGGGTCCGTCCTTTCACCCAGCAGGGGCCTTTGCAGCCTCCTTCCGCCTCCACCTTTCCTCCTTCTCTTCCTCCTGCCCCCTAATGCCAGAAACACTGTCTGCTCTTCTCCGTCTGACCCCGGGCAACACCCCGACGTCCTCGCCTTCTCGTCACGTGGATCCTTGCTCATCTTGTCGTCGCGGCGTCTAAGGATAAGGAGGGCTCTTCTAAAATGTTAGATGTAGAGAAGCGGGGCAGAGTGTTTCAGATGCCAGCGCTCCTCTCTCCCTGTCACCGACGGGCATCAGCCCAAGCCGAAGGCCGGGGGTGACGTTCCCCTGCCCGCCCTTGATGTTGGGTCTGGCTTCTCACCCTGGAGCCCAGCCGCTTGGTGGGAAGTGGGGATGGTCTTGCTCATAAGAGCGCGAGGCTGCTGGGGCTGGATGAGCTCGGGGGAGTGGTTAATTCTTGCTTGCTCGCAGCTGGATATTTTCAGAGGATGGCGTTTTGGAAAGAGAAGAAAAAAAAGAAATCTATTTTTTTGCTTTCTAACTGTTACTCTTCGTATTCGCTTTTACTTCTCGAAAGGAGTGGGCCCCTGCTGTCCCCTGACCGAGTCACCTTGGCTCTGCACGGAGCCCTCTCCTTTTCATTCAGAGCAGGGGATGGCGGGATGGATCTCGCCTCCCTCTTCCACCTTGTTCCCCAAACGGAGAGATGACCGGTCGCACTGAGAGACTGAGCCCCCCTCTGTGTGTGGAGGGCAGCGCAGGCGGCGGTCGCCCGAATAGTCTTGCTTTCCTTCGGGGAAAAAGCGATGGAGCATCACAGATTTTTTTTGTCCCCCCCCCCCCCACCCCAAAGATGACTCTTCTCTCCGTTCTGGAGCTCGCCAACCCATACACAAGCCAACTGGAACATGCAGGTCTGGAAGCAGTTGCTTTAAGGTTGCAATCACTCATATCCCTCCCTCCTTCCGGTTTGTCCTGGCCTCTCCCTTAGCACACACATGTACAACACGAGGTGCGTTGAACATGGTGGAACGTGCACACACGTGTGCTCTCAGCTGGCCCTGCCAACTGGTGGATGCTAACCTGGGTCAACAGTTTCTTTTAAGGGCAACTTTGCATTGTAGGAGCAGGGGCTGGCTGCTCGGGGAGGCATTTGTAGGTCTACAGCAGCTCGCACCCCATCGGTGGGTCTCTCCAGATTAGGGTGACCTCGGTTGTGACAGCCTGAACTCGCACCCCGTTGGTGGGTCTCTCTAGATTAGGGTGGCCTGGGCCATGACAGCTTGTGGAGCAAGGCTGCGATCGACTGAGCCTGCGTTGTGCATTCGTTGGTGGAAAAGAGAGGGTCACCTCTACCCCCAGAATATTCCCCCATCTTCCCAACGTAGAAATGATGCAGCATGAGTGTCCCAACAAGGATCAGGAAAGCAAGAGGCTGTATCAGCCAGCAGGGCCGTGTTGCATTAAGAAATGCTTGTTGCATCTTAAATTACCGATGAAGAATGGAGATTGCAAAGCAGAAATAACAGTATTCATACCCCCTGCCTTTTTTCCCCCCTCCCAGAGACTCTCAAACTGCTGCGCTAGAGCCAAGCGTGGTGCTTGCTCACGGGCACCTCCTTTCTGGAGGGGTCATCGTGCCGGGCCTTGGCCAGACCCAGGTAGGAGGGGGCACTGAAGGGACTGCCCTTTCCCTGTGGCTTTGGCTGCTGTTCTGTGTTCCTGTGGGAATCCCGAAAAGCAAAATTAAAATGCACACATTGCAGCTTGTTTCTCTAGGAAACCCATGTCAGCTCCACCGAGGGGAGGCTACAGGGTTTCAGGAGCTTCCCTATGAGCGTTGACTCGAGCAGCAATGTTTTATCCATAAGAAAACCCCAGGCAGGAGCGTTCCCTCCGGTGTATTCTCCAGGGCTGTGTCCAGACCCATTTTAAAATGACCCAAGCGACCGGCTCTCCAGTTGTTCCTGGAGAAGAAGGGAGGCTATTTCACAGTCTGGTGAATCTCATGCTTAGGAAGTTTTCCAGCCCTTCAGCCTGACTCTCCCTCTGTTTAATGTGCAGCCGAAGTTTCCACCGACTGGCTTGGGCTGCGGGAGCTGCTCTTACATTTTTCTGCGGGGAGAGGCGGGAAGACGGTTTGTTTTGCTTTTACACACCGCTGCCTTTTGACTTCATCCCGGTCCGCTTGCCAAAACACGGCGCCCTGCACATTTCCAGGAGCATCTCGGGAGGGGGTTTCTTGGGGGATGGAGTCGGGCGGCAAGGGAGCGCCTTTGCTTTCGGGTCCCAGCTTCGCTCCGAGCAGGTGTCTCAAGAGCCCAAGTTAGAAAACCAATGGAAAGAAATAGGAGAGCAAACAATGAAGGAGCTTGTTGATTTATTTTTTTCCCCCAGAAGAAAGTAACCATTCTTAACCCACCGGGGGACCTTGCAGGCTGCGCCAGGAATGAGGTGCCTGCGGTTGGCTCCCAACCAAGGGCTTCCCCGCCACTTCTATTTGATTTGTGCTCAAAAATGACCGAGGATTAGATTCCAAAAATATTTCTTCTCCCCCGCCTTTCCCTGTCAGCTACAGCTGGCCCTTTATATAGCTGCTTTGTGCCTGGGTGAAGGGAGAGCAAGCAGTCCCACCCCGAGCTCTCACCTTTGGTCCTTTAAGAGATGCAGCTGTTACTCCACGTCCCTCCTTACAGGTGTTGCCCACTTTCCAAACAGGCTGCTGGTTCAAATCCTTCCCCCTTCTCTCCCCTTTTCTAATACACCTCTCTCGCTGCTAAACAAATACCAAAGATTTCAGGTCATAACTCCCCCCCTCCACCCCACTCCCGGGTCTCCCCGAAGTGACAAACCCGTAGAGGCAGGAGCGGCGCTTTGGCGGCGTTTCTTCCGTAGGCTGTGTGCTGCTGAAAATATTATTAAACAGCTTCACCCTGGAAGAATTTGCCAAGAAAACAAGGCAGGAGAAATGAGCTGCATAGAGGTTGCCAGGAAATGCAAGCAGAGGCTGTTCATTCCCAGCCCCGTCCTCACGCAGGCATCGTGGTCGCAGGCCAAGGTGGGAACGTCCCATCTCGGCTGGCCCCTTGGATCTGAGCTCACCAGCTTTGAACCTCTTCCCTCCATACATTGCCACTGCAACTCGGTGCGTGGAAATATTAGCCAGGGAATAAGGAGCTGGAATGCATCTGCATTCACGCCCTGAGCCTAGCCTGCCTGCTAGAGAATATTAAAGGCTTTATTAAAGAGCCTATTGACCTGGCCCCACACTAAACACTGTTTATCTCTATCAGGCAGAACCAGCTTTTTTTTTTTTTTCATTTTATTTTATTGGGTGCTTGAAAGGCGCTGTGTTTGGGGCTGGAAGTCTGAGCGGCTATTTGTTTTTCTAGGCTGCGAGCGTGTGCTCCCTGCCAGCTCCTCCTCAGCCGCCGGAGGAAGTCGGGGCCGATTCTAGGCCACCGTGATGGGTCCCGCGTTCGCGGAGCTGCTTCTTGGGCAGGGGGGTGCCGAGCTGAGGTCTAAGGAGCGTGCAGCTTGTCTCGTCTGCGTTAGCATTGGAATTGAAGGTGTTGCCCTTATTAAAACATGCTACGGTGTTAGCTCCAAATGCTGCCCTGCCAAATACAGTATAGCCCCAGGATGAAGTGCCGTGTCGCGGTTATACTGGGAGTTTTGGCTGTCGGGGGTTTATTTTGTTGGCAGGCGGTATGACCCTGGGCACTTTTCTGTCTCCCGTTGCACTGGGGATGATGCTAATTCCTCCCAGGAATGGATTGTGAGGTTCAGCTTGCATTTTTAAACAGCCCATTGTAGCAGGCTGTCAATGTGCACGGTGCTGTATTAAATTGGTAGGGTTGTCGCAGGAGATGCTGTTAACACATTGACTTGTCTTTGTTGACTTAGTAAAACTCCCTTGATTTATACCAGCTGCAGCTTTGGCCCACGAGGGTATCCTTATTGCACCCTGAACACCCATGAACAACGAACCATGTCAGCCCTTGATGGGCACCAACATCCCTCCCCCACCCCCAAATCCCCTAAATTCATTTTTTTCCAGTGCAATTGCCCAGTTAGAGCAAACATAAGCCGCACTCGGGCTGTGGAGAACCCACTGTTGCAACCTTAAAGTGACCCGCTTTTGCATGGATTTCACTCTTTGGTTTATTTTCTTTCGCTTTGGCTTTTTATTTTATTTTTTCCCCCCTCATCATTATAATAATTATTATAAATATACTGCAAGCTTGTTTGAAGAGGTGATACATGGGTAAAGAAAAAGGCACATTATTCACTAGAGAGCTAGGACTTTTATTTAACCAGATGATAGTATTCGTGCAAAATCTGGTTCGATTAGGGTGATTTTATTTTATTTTTTTTTCTTTTCTTTTTGGTGGGACAATCTTTAATTTTCTAAAGATAGCACAAACATCAGCTTTTCAGCCAGCCACCCACCGCACTGGAGGCTCCTTGCGGCCTTTCTGCGTGTGTTCTCAATTGGGATCTACAACAACAAGAGCTTAAATAGGCTTTTGAGGATGGTCTTCAAGAAGCTCATCAGGCCTTTCCTCCCCGTCCATCCACCTCCGACACCGAGTTCAGGTGGAACCTTAGCAGTGGAGATCCTATGGTTGAAAGGCCTTGAAAACTCACAAATGTTGTACATTGAGGAAACACACAGAGGACTTTCCCCCCGCCCCTTCCCTTCGTTCCCGAAAGCCCAGCTAATTTCTGCACTTTGTCAACTCTTGGACGGTGGGTTGGACTGCGGTCTATGTCACACCTGCAGGCGTGGACCTTCCAGCTGAAACCCGGAGAAGTCTCCCGGGGGAGAAAAGTGTACGCTAGGTTGGTTTTTGTCTGAAAGGCCAAGGAAGATTCACGATCGGAAAAGGAAATTGGCCCTTCCCTCACCCCTGGAGTCCTCCAATGAACTGTAAGGTCTGGTCTCCAATATATTTCTTTGCAACAGCCCACTTGAATAACTGTTGAGAGTATACTCAGTCATCCCGTCCGCCGACTCTGGCTGCTCATCTCTCCTCTTGCTGCCACCACCCATCAGTGCATTGAAACCGTTGGGGACAGCTTTGGGACATGCAGCAGCACAGCCTTCTACCCGCTGTGGTTGTCAAGTCATCTCTCTCCCTAACGAGCAAGAGGAACTTTTTGTGTTTGCAATCAGAAGATGAGCAAAGGCTCATCCATTGGGGTCTTCATCATCAGAGCAGGACCAAAGGAACCAACCCTCCCTCTCTCCCAGTCAACACTTGGGCTCTCTCTGTGTGGACAATCCTGAAACGGTGGTGGCAGCAGTGGGATTGAGGATGGGGACACGTGACCTTGTAGCCTGTGGACTCACAGTTGGCCCCGCCAATCCCCAGCAGTGGCTAATTAGCTGATGATGTCCCCATCAGTGACTAGAGTGCATGATCTATTTTAAGTTGATACATATGTGCGTGTGTATACATGTATGTACTGTAGATATATACACTGTATAAATACCTTCACTCACATATACATATATTATAACCATAGCAATTACAGACTTTTTGTGCTTTTGTTTTGTTCAAATTGATTCTATTTTTTTTTTCCTATTTTGTTTTGGGTTTTTTTTTCCCCCTCATACCTTTTTGCTTCATGTAAGCGAGTACGTTGTACCAGAGCCCCTTCCATGTCGGCAAGTGCTGAATGATTTTTACAACTCGAGATAGAGGAAATGCATCTATTTTAAGATGCCCTTTTTCTTTTTTCTTTTTTTCTTTTTTTTTTTTGGAGCAGCAGATGGTTTGAATAAAATAGCTTTAGCAGTTCCCAACACTTAGCGATGGATGCCTTAGCTATGGGACACATAGCTAAAATAAAATTCAGCAAGAATTACAAAAATAATAAAAACCAGAAAAGAAATAAAAAAAAAAAAAAAAGAAAAGATAAGGAAAAATATCTAAAGCATCAATAAAGTTAAAAAAAAAAAATCTATTTTTGTACAAATGTAATTTTATCCCTTCCATATTCTTGGAGATTTTTCTTTTTTGGATTGTTTTGTTTCTTCTTCTATAGAGAGTGTTATAAACCGTCTCTCTCTGTAAATGCTTGACCACAGGGACAGACACCTGGAGGAGAGGGAGAATGTTTTGACTGCGTTTTAAAGGCTTTATATGAAATCTCTTTGGAAATATTTCTTTTTTTTTCTTTTTTTTTTTTTTTTTTTGGAATGAACTTTTAATTTTTTTCCTCCCACATCTGAAATCTTCTTTTATGGGGTGGGGGGAGGTCTTTTGTCATGTCTCTCTGGCGTTCCCGCAAGTCTGTTTTACTGTGAAATCACTACCGTATGTTATTTGTTCACTTAAAAAAAAATATTGCTGCTGGAAGCGCCAGTATTTTGATGAACAATTGTATTAGAATTGTAAAAAAAAAAAAAACAAAAAACAAAAAAAAGTGAAAGAGAGAGAGAGAAAATAGGGGGAAAAAAAGAAAAATATATGAGCATTTTAAAATATAATACAGTTCAAGTCCTCTTTTGTTCTGAATGGGTGATCTGTGACTTGTTCGCTAAGGAGGTGCCCGTCCCCGCCAAAGTCAGAGTCAACATTTCCAAGCTTCCTGAGCCTTGGGTTTGGGACAAACGGGCGAGATCCTTACAAACATCGTTCCTCGCTTGTACGGGTACCGAATCATTGTGCAGAGCTCCACCCTGTGGGCAATTCGACTCCTATTAGAAATGGCTTCAATATTTTCTCCTATTTGGGTGACTCACGAGCTGCTGGCTTGCAGGCCGTGACTCCATAGCCCTGGTGAGTTAATGTGACTATTGGATTGACTCTGTTGCTGGACGCGGGGAGAAAACTCACTTGAATAGCCAGCCTCTGTTGCATCACGGCGGTCAGGGAGCTGCTGTGCCCCGCGCCCCTGTGCATACTCCACCTCGGAGGGATAACGCACGATGTTTGGGTGCCTCCCGCATTGCCATTATCTTGGTGCAGGACATAAGGCATGGGTTTGTGTAATGTCCTGCAGCGCACCATTGTGAGGGCTCCAAATGCGTTGGCTTTGGGTGGAGGAAGACAAAAGACTCTTCCCCATCTGCTACAGCTAAGTCAGCTGGATCTCTCGAGTGCAGTCACATGGAAAGTCCTGGCCTTAGATGCAGTGCACAGCTTACTGTGCTACATGCCATAGCCAGATCACAGGGTCCATCCACCCTACAGACCTTGTCGATGTTGCCTTAGCTAACATCTTCACTGCACGGGCACCCTCTTTCCCCCTTAGAGCAGAGGACACATCAGGGCACCTCCATGAGCCAGCTCAGGCTGCAGAAGAGCTCTCAGAGGGGGATCACAACTGAGCACATCTGAATGTGTCCTAGGGCTTGGTGTCAGTGTCGAGAGCCCAGCCGATAGTGCAAGAGCTCTGGGTGTGGACCAGACCAACAAGGGACTGATCCAAAGCCAAGCAAAGTCCACCGCCAAAGGCATTGTAGGTGTGTGAGGTCCTCCCGATAAGCACTGCATTCGCTGTAGGCATTAAGAAGCTGGGACAGTCTGTTCCTTTAAAACTATTTTCTGTTCTGGTGTCAAATGTGTGCTGCTTAAGTGGGAACATTGCTGGATGGGAACGTGGCACTCATCTCTAATACAGCACGTGTGTTAACAGAAGCTGTTAGCAGTAGCCTCGGATCCAAGCTGAGCTTTCTGCCTGGAACAAACAAGATTGAACTAGTTCTTGGGTTTAGGGCGGAGATCAATTTTCTCTGACAGCTACAGGATAGATAAAATAAGGGAGAACAGGAAAGAGCTTCAATTGAGTTAGTGCTGATCTGTGTGTATGTCTGTGTGCGTGCACGTGTGGAGGGGGTTCAAACTTTTTTTTGTATTATTATATAAAAGGCCATTCTGCTTGGAAAAGGGGCACTGCTCAACTTCAACTCAACGGAGTTAGCAGTCCTGTACTCACCACTACAAGGCTTTAGGAAAACGGCCTGCCGCAACAGTCCATACCACTGGAGCCTGTGGCAATATTACTTCTCATCTTGAAGTTATGAGGTTATTAATGGGGAGATATGTAGTAATTCATGGCAAGAAGATGAAAAAGCTAAAAATGGACCCAAAGGAGCTTTGGAAGTGACTCGAGGCTGCGGTTGCAGCCACACGGACGAGAGTGGAAACGCTCCTGTCTCATACCCATATCATGAGACCAGCATGAATGCCAGGAGATGGGGTCCGGAGGGCAGGTCGGTTGGTGAGGTTTAGTTTCTGTTTCAGCTTTGACAACCAAAAACCTTGTGAGCTGTTCTTGGGAAAGGCGGTCGTGTCAGGTGTGGCTGGTTTCGGTCACCTGGAATAGGGGAATTCTGGAGAGAGCAGAGACTGGGGTGAGATTTTGGCCATGTGGGGCTGTCCCTGGAAGGTGCTGGCTGCATCCAAACTGGAAATGAAAAGGAGGCTCTGAGTTGGTGCCAGTTTGCACCATAGGCTGCGTCCAGATGTGCGTGTTGGTGCACAACTAGTGTTGGTGCACCTTGTGCCGCTGCTAGTTGTCCGCAGGGAATGCCCGGCCACGTGCAAGCTACCCTCGGTGGGGTGGGGGACCCCAGCAGCCTTACCTGGGGCTCTGGGGGCCTCCCGGGGCTGCAGCAGTGGCGATCCTGCCGCGCTCAGCCTGTCCGGTAGCAGAGCGCAGCTGTGGCCGGCCAGGCTCTGGCTTTGGGCGGCGCATGCTGCTGTCGCATGCACCCCTCTGCTTTTTTCCCCATGGTTTTCTTTGATCTAGCAGGGGTAAAAAAAACCCCTCCACACTGCTGCTTTGCAGCAGGTAAGTGCAGTAAGTGGGACCGTAGACGTGCCTGCGGCGCCACACACCGCACGGCCACGCTCATCTGGACGTGGCCATAGTGTCCTAGGGCCGGTGTAAGGAAATGCACCTTCAGGTTGGCCCCCGTCGCTAAGACCATGTCAAAGAGGCTGGAGAGCTACGTGGGACTTGTCCTGTGCCACGGGGATGCTGCATAACAAGAGTCCTGGCCTTTCTACCACCTGAATCCCACCGGTGTGGGAGGTGCCCAGGCCACGTACGGGGCCTCCCTGTCCGGCGGGAATTCACCCAGTCGGTATCTCAGGTGTGGCACGGAGGCTGTTGAATTGACAAATTTCCTGGCTCCCATCTCAGAGGCTGGTTATTTGCCTTGTTAACCTCCCGGCAGCAGTTTGTGTTTGGAGGGTAAATATTTACGTCCCCTTCCTGTACGTCTTGCCTCTCCCAGGGTGGAGCGGGGAGGGTGATATTTAACACGATGCTTGCTCTTTGCCTGCGACACAGGGCAATGTCTGGATTACAGCTGCTCGCTGGTTTTAAAAAGCATTTCCTTTTTAAAAATAACACGCAATTCTCGAAAGAAAGAAAGAAAGAAACCCACCCACCCACCCAGACCCAGCCATTGCTGCTTTCTCTCTTTCTTTCTTCCCACAATTCACAGCTTGTTGGCGATCAACACCACATGTGATGCAATCTCGATTGTGAAGTTGCTCTATTTTTTCCAACTCTCCTCTTTTCTTTTTTTTTCCCTTTCCCCAGTGCCGAGCGGGGAGGGGTTGTGTTCACTTTTCTGCTTTCTCACAGCCTTGGCATATGGCGAGAGCAAGAGGTGTCGGAGCTTGGAAAATCCATTGGCATTTCTCCGGTTTCTGCAGGGATCAAAGCTCCTGGTTTGAATTTCTCTCGATTTGTTGGTATCAGTTGATTATTGTTTCATGTAATAAAATCTGTTGCATAATGCCACGTGTTGGGGCTTTTCTTCTCTCTGGTGTTGGGCCCTAGAGATGATGGCCTTGTCCTTCTAAATTTCATTGTGGAAGCTTCCTTTTGCCTAGAGATGAGGAACTGGGAGCACTGATGCCTGGGTGGTAGCAGGTGACAAGGAGCTATACTCTGTGTTGATGAACATCAGGAGAGCCTGATACACTGGAGGGTGGGGTCAGGATTCAGAGAGACCTAGACAAATTGGACAATTGGACCAAAAGAAATCTCATGAGATTCAATAAGGATAAGTGCAAAGTCCTGCACTTTAGGACGGAGCAATCCTTGAAGAATTTGAAGACTTGTCTTGACAGAGCCTTGGCTGGGATGATGTAGTTGGGGCTGGGGCTGCTTTGAGCAGGGGGTGGATTAGATGTGACCTCCTGAGGTCCCTTCCAACCCTCATTTTGTATGATTTTCTATGATTCTAAACATAACTTTGAATATCAGCTCATAATGTGGTCAATTCTTGCAAAATTTATTGAGTGTCTCAGAATATCGGGTGTTTTCTCTAAAGCCTTAGATCCTGGAGGCATATGAATAGGCAAGAACTTTGATTTTCACTTAAAAACAAAAAGATATTCCTATTGGTCGTGGCTACAGATGAAAATGTCACCTGAAGGATCCTAACACTTCAAAAGGGGCAGCCAGAAGAAGCCCAGATATATTATTCTGCCCCTTCTTGTGAGTTTTAAGCCAATTCATGATTTGGTGTTTTAACTCCTAGTTTTTGAATTCACAGTGTTGGCAACACTACAATCAGATCTGCATCCAGATCTAGGATGCTGATCTGTCTTCTGAGAACAGGCCAAGTGAGAGCAGGTGTTGTTGGATGCCTGGGTGAATGGTGCGTCCCGAATCTGGGGGGGGGCACCAGATTGCCGACGGGGGTGGTCCCCCGGAGGCCGATTGCCGAGCCAGCGGTGAAGCTGGAAGTGCACTTCTGGCTTCACGGCTGGCACTTCCAGGGGGTGCATGGCCGATCTCGGGGGGTGCACATGCACCTGTGTGTACCCCCTACACATTGCCAATGGTTGGATGTATCTTGGCATGTACAGTCCTGACCCAGGACTCACTCCTCTCCCAAACAGAGAGAGTCCTGCAGCAATAAAAAATGGAAGGTAATGGAAAGTGTCAGTGAATTTATGTCCATGGCACCCAGGGGCAAGCGAGGCATCAGTCACTGAAGTTTAGAAAGTCCTTTGAGGTCCTTAGAGAAGACACAGCTCGCTGTTCCCCTGCCTCGGGATTACAGTGATGGGTACTTTGCGAGTGCAGAGAGACCGCTCATTTATCTCTTTGAGAATCTGTCACTTGATACCTCTCCAAGGAGAAATGGGCTAATTCCTCCTTTGGATCCTTCTTGAATGGCCTTTTCCCCCCTCAGCATCATCACCCGCTCACATGGTGCCTGGGAGGGCGCAGACCTTGCTCTGTGCTCCACTCCAGTGGCCTCAGAGGGGACCTTCACCTTCTGCACCACCTTGCCAGGAAACGTGCCTGCTGGCCTCACCACCTCTTTTGGTATCCAAAGTGACTCCTGTCCTCGGTGCAGAGACACTGGAGTAGCCAGGTTTGCTGGGAAAGGATCCATAAGTGCTTAGGCCTAATTAGTCTTTCTCTGGTAACTTCACTTGAGTCCATCAATGAGCAGCAAAAGATGCCCTGACAATATCCCTCCTGTTTGTGAGTCCTACCAGCGCTGCATCAGAGCCACCCAGTCTCTAGAGGGCTTATCTTCTCAATGCTGTCATGAAGCAGGTCACTGTTACTACCCACATGTTACAGACTGGGTTTGAGACTCAAAAGACAAAGGCTCAAGTTCTCAGAAGTATATAGGCACTTAAGTGTCTTGCCCTGACTGTGCGAGCAAGCCTAGTTCTCCTGGACTTACCACAATATACTAAAGCTATGAATAGAAAAGATATTGGATAGGGATAGGGGAGCAACTTTTTCTGGGGCCAGCCAGGAGCTCCACAAATTATAAATTGTTAGACATTAGATTAAATTAGAAGTGAAAATGTGAAGTTTAAGGTAACTGCATTAAATAATTAAAAAAAAAAAATTAGTTGCAAATATCCAGAAATAACTTTTACCCAGCAACAACTCAAGTTAGGGGGCTGGACCCGATGACCTTGTAAGGTCCCTTCCAGCCCCTAACGCCTATGAATGACTATGACTAAGTGTAGAAGAGTGCCTGGAGGGTCTGCCATGCACACTGCTTCTGAAGTCCTGTAGCTAAACTAGTTTAAACACTAATCCCAGGGGCTAATTAGGTATTGTAAGGATGGGGGCCTAGGCATATTCCTAATAGGACTCTACTGGCTTCTCTTCCATTGGAGTGCCACCAACTATCCCTCTTCAGGGAGATATCCAGTACTGGGGACTGGAAACGGAGTGAATGGGGCCAAAAGGCCTAACCTGAACTGGGGAAGAACTGTACAATGAGATGCCCTGTGCCCTAGGTTGTGAGGAGGTCCACAGGTAGCCAAGGGAGCTTTGGCCTGCAGCACATCTGAGCATTGGGCTGGGTTGTGCCAGCTGCATTATCCCCGTGGAGTTGTTGCTTGCACAAGAAAACCGCTCTCTCTCTCTCATCTCTCAGATCTAATCCTCGCAGGGAATTTACAAAACACCTTTCGTAGATAAACCCATGAACTTCACTTCATAAATCTACTGGACACAGAAAAATCATGGACTAAACATAGACATTGGATTTATGGGACATTATAACTTGCCTGCCATCTGATAACCCCAGATAACCTGTCTGCATTTTACCAGCTACATTCATCACCACTTCCACACTTCCCCTTCCCATCTGTCTCACCTTTGATCCTTACTGCCACGCATTTGCATTTTCACAGACTTGCATTTTGGCTTCTGTTCTACGCAGGAGAGTGCACAATTCACTAGCAGACTCTCTATGCCTGAAGAAGGGTGTTTGTGCCTGAAAGCTTGCCAAGAACAATTTTTCCAACTTTTTAGTTGGTTTAATACAAGAACCTTGTCCATCCTGTGGAGTTTAGCACTCATACAGGATTGAACCGATACATTAAATCTCTTCTGCCCTCTACTATCCTCTTTATAACTGTGCTCAGATCAGTGAAGCCATATTCAACAGGACTCCCCGCTCGGAGCCATTGCTTGGCTCACGTATAGCAGTGGATAAACGATAAGCTGCTTAATCTGTGTTGCTGTTTGAAAGGGGAGAAGTGGTGTCAAGCTCTTGTTTGCTAAGTGCCTGAGTTTGTTAGCACACCCATTAAAGCAGACAGACATTTAATAGCAGGGCCCAGCTGTCCAGAGACCTGCATAGTCTGGCTGTCACCAAATCATCAGGCCAGTTCTGCCCCCCCAGCTCTTATCCAGCTGCTTCTGTCTCTACAGGAGGCAATGGATAGGGGAGCTCCTTAAAGAAAAAGCAACTTCTCTCTTGATCGGGGAAATATGCTGCAATTGGAAGTGGCCGTGAGTTTCTGCAGCTGACAGAGACCTCAGGCGGCGAGAAATCCCCATTTTTAGTAGCAAGATGTTGCTGCCACCTTCTGGGCTAGTCGGCCACCGCCTTTAGAGGGAGAAATGTAAAAAATGGGAAATGCTTTAAACTAGTAAATGCTCCTGGGTGAGCTGAAACACGCTGGGTTGCGGGGTCAGTCTTTGGGGCGTTGGTGTCCGCGTACACCACTTGCTGGGCATGCAACGTCTCGACAATCCTCTGCCCTGCCTTGCTTTGGTTTGCAAACATTTTATCCGTCTTTCTTTGTATCGGTCTGCAAAAACCTCAACCTTCCTGTCAGCCGCCAAGATAACCTGCCTGCCCTGCAGCACGGTGTCTACATTTAGGACGTTTTCTAACAGATCAGCTTATTCCCTGCAGCTTGTGCTTGGGTTACATTCACCATTATTCCTCTGAGTCCCCGAATGCAAGTCAGTAGCTTCCTGTAGCAATGAGTTTCACAGGCCATCGGCCACTATTATCAAATAGCACTCCCGATTTGATTTTAGCCTTGTATGATCATTCGCATCGATTGAGTGTCATCTTATTTATGTCATCTGGGAAAGGGTTAAAGAAAGGAGTTTCAAGTTACGTGCTGCCTAAAATGTGTATTTGCTATATTCCAGAAGGACTTGAGATCCTAAGGCAGGAGAAAAATATTTGCCATAAAAATTGAGCATCTCCCCCCCTCTCAAAACTGGCAGCGAACTCTTGTTCAGCCTTATAAGCAACATTTTCCATCCTGCGCTCCAAAGTAGCTCACTTCCACTAAGCTCACATTTTGTTTTTCTACTGACAAAGTGAGGTATGATTTTTGGCGCGGTGATTTGCTGCTGTGGAAGGAGAAGTGAAAAGATGCTTTTAAGGCGAGCTCACTCCACACTAAAACCGAAACCCACGGGGAGGGTGAAATGGCAATTCACCAAAGTCATCAGAAGAGCTTTATATATGAGCTTTACTTAAAAAAAAAAAAAAAAAAAAAAAATCATACCAAAACCATTATGCCAGAGAGTTTAGACAGGCGTCATTCTTGGATTAGTGCTAAGGTGAAGCGGATGAGTAAAACACCTGAATCAAGATTTTTTTTTTTTTTTAAACGCTAGTGAACTCACTGATTCCTGGGATTGTACTATTTATTCCCTTTATTTGGTCTCCTGGTATTACAGTAGTGTCCAACCTAGATCACGCTCCCAGTGTTAGGCCCTAACTACATACACAGACTAGCGGAAAGCCTGTGCCCCAGAAAGCTGCAGTCTAAATAGATGAGGCAGACAAAGAACTGGAGAGGAAGCCGGGTTGTGAAAGGGGCTGGCCCAAGGTCATAGAGAAAGGTCAGTGGCAGAGATGGGGATAGTCCCCACGTCCGCTGTCTAAGGCTATTGCCCTGCCTACTCACTTCCTCGGTGTTTCCTAGTTCAGCTGCTTGTGAATCCTGAAGCTTTTGCAAGTATCTGCCTACCCTTTGC